TCGTGTTTGGAGGAAGAAGAATACTGAGTTGCATCCCAAGAACACCATACCTACTGTGAAGCATGGGGGTGGAAACATCATGCTATGGGGCTGTTTTTCTGCCAAGGGGACAGGACGACTGATCCGTGTTAAGGACAGAATGAATGGGGCCATGTATCGTGAGATTTTGAGCCAAAACCTCCTTCCATCAGTGAGAACTTTGAAGATGAAACGAGGCTGGGTCTTCCAACATGACAATGATCCAAAACACACCGCCCGGGCAACAAAGGAGTGGCTCCGTAAGAAGCATTTGAAAGTCCTGGAGTGGCCTAGCCAGTCTCCAGACCTCAACCCCATAGAAAATCTGTGGCGGGAGTTGAAAGTCCGTGTTGCTCGGCGACAGCCCCAAAACATCACTGCTCTCGAGAAGATCTGCATGGAGGAATGGGCCAAAATACCAGCTACTGTGTGTGCAAACCTGGTAAAGACCTATAGTAAACGTTTGACCTCTGTTATTGCCAACAAAGGTTATGTTACAAAGTATTGAGTTGTATTTTTGTTATTGACCAAATACTTATTTTCCACCCTGATTTACGAATAAATTCTTTACAAATCCTACCATGTGGATTCATGGATTTTTTTTTTCACATTCTGTCTCTCACAGTTGAAGTGTACCTCTGGTGCAAATTACTGACCTCTGTCATCATTTTAAGTGGGGGAACTTGCACAATCGGTGGCTGACTAAATACTTTTTTGCCCCACTGTATGCCTGTCAACCACACACACTCCCCAAACACATTCAAATCCAACCCATACCTTGGATAGCACTGGACCTAACTGCCTACAGTTACTATTCTGTGACCAATGCAGCGAAAAGTAGCTAGCAGCTAATTTTAGGTTTACCTTCTGTAGATCATTGATTATTGAATCATTAAATGATTGCCAAGCAATATTTGTTTATGAGACCTGCCGTAACTGTGGTCCAACCGGAATAGCATGGTGGGGGGAGTTTTGTTTTTCCGGTACTGGCATTGTGTTTTGTCGTGTGCTGGGGTACGCATTAAAGTTTTACAGCGGACTAACATCCAGAGTGATCATTGGCTTGTCGCATCACACGAGAATGCTACACCTTCTATTAGTAAAACTATATTAATGTCAAAAAATAAAATGTAAGTTGTAGGACGCAGTTGAATTCCGAATGATCCTTTATTCTTTTGATACCAAAGACCTTCGATCAATTCAATTTCATCACTTATTTGAAACCATGTCAAAGTTCTAGCTGAAGTGCCCAGATGTTCTTTCCCAGGCCATCAAAGAAACATAGTAAATGGTAAACTGGTTATTATATAGCACTTTTCTACTCTTCTGAGCACTCAAAGCACTTTACACAACTTGTGCATTCACCCAAGCACATTTTCTTAATTCACACACAGATTCATACTACAATGGATGCATTGGAGAGCAATTTGGTAACTTGCCCAATGATAATTGGCATGCAGACCAGGGGAAGCCAGGAATCAAACCACCAACCTTCCGATCAGTAGATGACCTGCTCTACCGCCTGAGCTACTTGATTCAATTCATCCATCCATCCATTCGCTTCCGCTTATCCTTCTCAGGGTTGCGGGGGGCACTGGAGCCTATCTCAGCTGTCATAGGACGAGAGGGTACACCCTGGACAGGTCGCCAGTCTGTCGCAGGGTTAACACACAGAGACAGACAACCATTTGTGCTTACATTCACTCGCACATTCACACCTAAGGGCAATTTGGATTAATCAATTAACCTATCCCCACAAACTGCATGTCTTTGGACGGTGGGAGGGAACCCACGCAAACACAGGGAGAACATTCAATTCATTTCAGTTCAATTCAATTCAATTTATATAGAACCAAATCACAAAAACAGTTGCCTCAAGAGGCTTTGTATTCTAAGGTAAAGACCCTAAAATACTACAGAGAAAACCCCAACAATCAGATAACCCCACTCTCTTTTAACAGAAAGCAGATGGGAGAAACGTTTCGTCACCCATCCAAGTGACTTCTTCAGTCTCAGCTGACTGCAGGTTTCCCCAATCTTATAAACAGTACATTTGCATAATGACTGAAACCAGCCCACTGAAGGAACAATAGGCTGTGAGGTCAGTTCCTTGATCATTAGATTAAGGTGAAGAAGAAGAAGAAATGCTCAGTGCACCATGGGAAACCCCCAGCAGCCTAAGTCTATTGGGACGTACCAAGGGAGGGTTCAGTGTCACCTGTCATCCAATCCTTACTATAAGCTTCATCAAAAGGGAAAGTTTTGAGCCTAATCTTAAATCTAGAATAAAGGTCGTCTATCTCCCAATTCCAAAGTGGGAGCTGGTTCCACAGAAGAGAGGTACTTTTAAATACCCTCCTTCCCATCCTGGAGAGGCCATCCACAGTTTCTCAGCTGAGAACCAGAGACTCAGACTCTGAGCTGCTAATTGTCAGCCACTTCACACAAGTGGATCCAGTGTGAAAGTGAGTTTACTAAAACTCACATCCTCTGCCTCTTCATGGCTCCTAAAAAATTCTGTCCATAAAAGTTGTAAACATAGTCAATTGTACCAATAATACTTTAATAATTATAATAATTACTAAGTAGTATTCCAAGCACATTACTTTTTTATTCCTAGGTTGCAGACGATAAGGCAGAACACAAACTTGGGGGCAAATTCCACAGAACCAAACCAGTTCTGGTTTGGTGGTTTTGGCTTGTGCTCTGGAAACAGAAGGTGCTTTTAAAAACAGAGTCCAACAGTAAGGGAAATCTGTTTTTTCAACACTCATGCTAAGTTCTCATTAAATTCTGTTGGCCTATCTACAGTTTTCACTCCTTGACCAGCTCTTTTTGTTAACTGTGTTAACATATGTCTGGATTCATCTGCAGCTGAATTCGTTAAAATCCTTAAAGACAGCTGTGACAGCTGTGACGTAAACTGTGGTTCAAATTATCCTTAAAAGGGTCTGGTGTGTCTGCACCATGGTAGACACTGAAGTGAAAATGGAGACATTATGACAACATTTTCTATGGTTTCAATCTGTAAATCCACAGCATGTGTTCTTAAACCTGTGCTCTATCCAACTCTGTGCCATTGGTTTGGCTGAGGTTTCTGTGGCAACCCTGCAATAATTAATAGCTGAATGGTTAAAGGCTCTGGAAGAGAAGTCATGTTTCCAACACTGTAGGCGTTGACTGAAGCTGAAAGACTGAAGTTACAAAATATGTGGTACAACCATTCTCGGGACTAGTCTGGCTTGTGTTGTTGGTCCATCCAAGTTATAACATACAAAGAGCTGAAGTGAAAGCAAGTGTTAAAAATGATGGGACGTGTCCACTGCAGTCACTATCTGTGGTTTTCATTTTGTATTTTTTATTATTATCTTTGATGGAGTTTTGTGTGCTTCTCTCTTTCCTCTGGCGAACTCTGTTGCGGCTCCCTTTGCTGTTACGGCCCACTTGTCAACCAGTTAGCATTCAACAACAGACAGCTTGATCTGCATCCAGCAACGTGCAGTTGGGGTTTTGGAAGACTGCACAGGAAGATGTTTGCGGTGGGTGAAAACCCCTCACCAGAAACTGTCCATATGGAATGCCAAACGCAAACAGACACAACTGGTAGATCATAAAATACACATGACAGGGATGGTCTGAAATCCATTTAGCCATTAGAACCATAAGATTTGTTGATTTAAACTTTAAATTGTTTCAGTTTGGAGAACAGCCTGTTTTTTTGGTCATCATGTATGACTGTATCATGTATCAGAGTATCTAGTAGATGTTTTTATGACAGCTTGCTGGGAAACAGTTTACATAATGGCAGCATTTACTGCTGTAGCTCAGGAGGTAGAGCAGGTCATCTACTGATTGGAAGGTTCGATCCCTGGCTTTCCCAGTCTGCATGCCAAATATCCTTGGGCAAGATATTAACCCCAGGTTGCTCTCCAATGCGTCCATTGGACTATGAATGTGTGTGAATGGTAGTTACTAAGGAGTTAAAAACATAGAAGACAGTGCTTGTATGAACGTGGCATATTGCATAGAGGGTTTTGAGTACTCTGGGAGAGTAAAAAAGCGCTATATAACAATCAGTTCATTTACCATTTAAAGAAAAATCTCAGCTCAAAAAACTGTCACAGTTATCGACAACTCCAGTCATTAAGTGAACTGCAGTGTCAGTTATCTTTTCATGAGTTTAGGTTCATAAAATGTGTGCAACCTTGCAAACACTGTCCATTGTACCATGCGTTATTTATCTTATATTACAAGTAGGGGAATGGCATGTGCACTAAATACCTATATCTATATACCAAGTATCATTAAAATGATAACTTTTTCACTTTTGGCACAAAAAATGCCAGCTGGCCTGCTAACCACACCCATGCTGGCAATTACAGCGTAAAGAAAATGTAGTTGATTTACCGAATACTTTTATAATTTTATAACAAGGGGCAACTACTCAAGACAGTATTTTCTTATGTGAGCTTGCAATCTGTCTCTGTCGGCAGGGAAATATTATTCCGAAACCAAACAGTCCCTTCATGAATCAAACGCCCTTTTGATGTGGGCCATAGCAATCGCTTGGCGAGCACATTTCTGTCTAGACAGGCTTCAGTAGACAAATTCTTCCTGCTAATGTTAGCTAAAATTTTATGTTATTCTTATTATTATTTATTGCTGGACAATAAATACTTAAATAAATACAGCACTTCAGGCTTTTAAACTACTGTTGTGTTGTGTTGTTGTTTGCTGTTTATGTGTCTAAATTTGTTGACTTGATTTTATAAGAACTTTGCATTACGTGTGGTCAGAGGCTTGACAAGTCGCAAATGTTCACTTTACTTCAGGTCAAGGCACTACTTGCTATGGTCGATTTAAGAAAACACTACCATGTTAAAACTCACACATTATATGAGTAAATATGTAGTATATACAGTAACTGGACCACCTGTGAATTGCTATTAAAGTGTGATCTCTGTAAACATAGTTTGTCTCACCTCTAACTGGGCTGATTTTGTTGGTGATGGCGTATCTCAGGATCCGCTCCTCCTTCACGAACATGACAAGCACCCTCTCCATAAGGATCTGCAAAGTCTCCGGGGTGGCAGCTTGGTTGTTGTGTGGGCAGTCACGGTAGGTGATATTCTGTTTCAGCTGGAAAGAGAAGGACTCGGACCCTCGGTCTGCTGTAACCACTGAATACTCTCTAATAGAGGTGGTGGTTGCAACTGTAGAAAGAGAGATGGAGTCACTTTAAGCAACAAAAAGGGCAATCGAATGATGTATGCTGTTCAATCCTTGACTTTACCTGAGGGGTAGTACTGGTAAGTCTCTTTGAAGGGCTCCATGGTAACTTCAGCACCAGGAGGAAGGAAGGGCACACTGCCGCTGATTACAGTACCCACGGTTAGGTGGTTGTGGTCATCGAGGCCACGGGCCGTCTGAATAATTGACAAGCGCTGGTTGCCAGGGTAAAATACAACCTCTGCGTGACGACTGAACTCAGCACCTTGTAACACAAATAATCATCAATCTTTTATTTACTGGTTTATATATAACAAACATGCAGAAGCTACATTTCAGAAAAAGTGCAGTGTCTACAATGGTTACACACTAACACAACCACACAGCTGTTTCCCATTAGTGAGGGGAGGGGGAAGACTGATATCACATCACATCCCTGGAGACACTACATCTGGCTGGGAGACCAGAAACACACACATGCAAAGAAACAGACACACGATGTCCTTGCTATTAAGGAGTTCCCTCATGTTTCTCCAGAATGTCAAGAGTCAGGACGTACAAGGCAAAAAACTGTGCAAACATGTTTACCTGTCAGTTTGAATCCCGCTTGGCTATTCTGCAGCTCCAAAGCAAACAGCCATCCAAATAGCTCTCCAATGGGTGCAACTGGCATCAGTGCCCAGCCCACTGGTTCTGGTACCTGACCAAGAGGGATAATGTTTGCTAAGTTGACTAAGTTTACGTAAATGACGCAAGACATTAAGATGTTCATTTATTTCAGAGGCTTTTTAACCAACATATTTCAATTTCCTTTACTTAAAAATGATTAAATCCAAGGTGGATTTGAAAAAATTGTGGTTGAAAAAAATTCGAATTGAATTCCCCCAATGGACACTATATCAGGTGTTTGTGCTGATATACTGTGTTTGGTTTCCTCCCTATTTGGTGTTGTGCATTATAGCCAAACTTTAGTTTCATCCATCCAAAGAACATTGTTTCAGAAGTCTTGTGATTTGTTCAGATGCAAAGTGGAAAACCTAAGCTGTGCTGTCATGTTCTTAGAGGCTTTCTCCTGATAACACTTCCAAGCAAACCATACATGCACTTTTTTATTAAATAACGATGGTATCATGACATTAAACATTGATGGACTCAGACTCTACAGGCCTCAGCATGCCCACGCTGCATGCTGTAGAGTCTGAGATGTAGTTCTTGGTCTGACATTGGAATGAATTCACTGGGATTTCCATTATGTTAACACACCTCAATGCTCCAGACCAGCAAACTGACAAAACTTTTATAGAGGTGCTCAAACCTGCTGATGTCAATTAATCAAAAACATTCGATTAGCCAAGTATTAGGGTTACCCTCTTAATTCCTGTGGAAGCAGTACGGGTATGCTTAGTTTGTCTCATGACTACATGCAGTCCTCTAAAAACTTTCTTTTTCATGACTGTAAGTTAAACCTTGCTCCTGATCTCCTGATCTGATAAGTTAGCCCCACTCTGAATGCTTACCAGATTGGTTCCTTAAATTTGTTATGGAAAAAGTACTGGCTGTCTTAATCTTAATTACAATATAGAAGAAGCTTGTACACGATTAATGGGTCTGTTTTTCAGGTTGTACCTTGCTGATGGCAGTATACGCCCTCCCGTCTCCCACCACGATGTAGGCATGGAGATCAATGTTGTTCAGCGATACTGGAGTCGATCCCACATACACAGTACCGCTCACCTTACCGCTAACACGCTGGGGGGCACCTGGATGAGCAGCACAGAACGCACACAACAAAGCAGCTTTAATATGTAAAGACAACCAATGGGCACAGCACTTAGAAAAAATGGCCAAGATCTAACCATCAGGCAGACACTGGCGTCCATTTCCATAGAAGCCTGGTTGGCAGTGACAGCAGAAGCCTGTGGCATAGTCAGTGCAAAATGCATTCTGGGAGCACTGCTGCAGGAATCTAAATGAGAAGGAGAAAGTTGTAGTTTTAAGTACGATCGGTGCTTTTTTGATATGTATTCATGGCATCAGACAAGGCATGAGAATGGACAAGTGTCAGATCAAGCAGACACTAACTTAAAATATTATTTCTGCAGGAAAGAGCTTTTCTTTTTTAAGAAAGATCTTCAGATTCTGAGAAAGCAACTTTTACTCTTTACACTGTTTTGAACAAATCTCAGTGTTGTTAAGACACCTAACAAAGTTGTCTTTGATGTCTTTTCAATGTCTTACCAACAATGTCTGATTGGCTGTGTAGGTAAGCAAATTAAATTGCATGTCTACTCTTTACATACCTGGCACATGTTTCCTTATTCTCTGTAGTATATTGAATCACTATGAGAGAAAAAAAAGTAAGATTAGAGGATACATGATACATAGATAATACACGACATTTAAACTCATTAGCCTAATGTTTTCACTCTAATGCTTCAGTTATACCCGCTACATTGGTTAGTTTGCGCTCCACTGGTGACATCATCACTCAGCCATATTCATTTAAGCTCTCTGTTAAGGCGCAGGTGCTTGCAGTATTCTCCTGAACAGTAAGTGTTGCTACTCAGACAAAACCTTCATATTGCTGATGGTTTAGGGGGAGAAGAGTTTTTCCGACTAAGTCTTATCTTTTCAAACTGTTGCAACATCTCCCTCTGTATCATCTGTGAATGTCTTCTGCAAAATTTATGAAAAAGATTTTATAATGATCAACATTCTATATTATTTTTATGACTTTTACCTGAAAATGAGTGATGGTAAGATGATTCACTTGAACAATTTATATTTTGTCTCCAATCTACACATTGTACAAAAACTTCAATTCAAATGTATTTGTATAGCACCAGATCACACCAACAGTCAGCTCAAGGCGCGTTATACTGCAAAGTAAAGACCCTACAATAACACAAAGAAATCAGATGACCCCCTATGACCAAGAACCTTACTGACAGTGGGAAGGAAAAACTCTTTTAACGGGAAGAGACTCTGCAGCTGGTTGGGGGTGAGTGGAACAACATGAAATTTGCACACACACATGCAATTCAATTCAATTCAATTCAATTTTATTTATATAGCGCCAAATCACAACAAAAGTCGCCTCAAGGCGCTTCATAGATACAGAGAAAAACCCAACAATCATATGACCCCCTATGAGCAAGCACTTTGGCGACAGTGGGAAGGAAAAACTCCCTTTTAACAGGAAGAAACCTCCGGCAGAACCAGGCTCAGGGAGGGGCGGCCATCTGCTGCGACCGGTTGGGGTGAGAGAAGGAAGACAGGATAAAAGACATGCTGTGGAAGAGAGACAGAGGTTAATAACAGATATGATTCAATGCAGAGAGGTCTGATAATACATAGTGAGCGAGAAAGGTGACTGGAAAGGAAAAACTCAATGCATCATGGGAATCCCCCGGCAGCCTACATCTATTGCAGCATAACTAAGGGAGGATTCAGGGTCACCTGGTCCAGCCCTAACTATATGCTTTAGCAAAAAGGAAAGTTTTAAGCCTAATCTTAAAAGTAGAGATAGTGTCTGTCTCCCGAATCCAAACTGGAAGCTGGTTCCACAGAAGAGGGGCCTGAAAACTGAAGGCTCTCCCTCCCTTTCTACATGCAGACATATATGCATACACTCCAAGATGCTATATGAAAAGAAAACCAGCTGCTGCAGTCCTGCTTCAAACATCCACACATGCACATCTTTCCTCTATAATGAGAACCTTCATTGACATAATACATTGTGTAGTCTTGTAACCCTCACCACTCACTGGCTAACCACAACCCTAAACTAAGCCAAATATTAACCTAAACCTCAATACCAAGTAATAAACAGTCCTTGGATGTGGCCAAGATGAGACCCAATGTCTTCACAGCATATACATGTTCTGACTACAGCTCTAAACAGACTCTAAACTAAAAGACTGTTTATTTGTTGAAAGTGTCTCTGACTTGAATGCTGCACAATTTTTTTATTTGAATCGACAAAAAAATAAATAAATAACTGAGTCAGCAAGAAAACTGCTGACTTAAGATATTTTGATTGAAACCTTAAATGCCTATTCTTATTAGAACTGCTCAAGTCTGACCACAACCTCACATGCTTAAGTAACTTCTCTTAACAAAAAACATCACATGGAGCTTGTATAACTCCTGAGCGAGTGCATTGTTCTCTTTGACTTTCTCATTTTCTTTCTCTCTTTTTGGGATGTTGGAATTTTCTAGGGAGACAAAGACGTAACAATTGTACTCCAAGTTTCATAAACATCAAATCCATAAAAATGCTGAAAAATATAAATGTGCTTTCTAAAAACTTCAAAACACATAAATATAGCACTTGACATTTGACCTTTTTTAAAACCCGCTTGAAAACACACTTGTATTCTTTAGCTTTTAATTGTGACTAGTCTTTCATTATTTTTTTTACTATGAATGTTTACTATTTCCATTATCTACAGCACTTTGGTTCAACCTGTGTTGTTTTTAAATGTGCTTATGAATAAATTTGATTTGATTTGATTTGATAAATATAGCCAAATACTCTATGTACGTATACTAGTACATGAAGTCTGATATTCTTTAAGTCTACAAGATATGGTCTAAAATGGCCTTAGCAGCAAGATGCTCCATATCCCATCCTGCCTGTTTCCACTTTTACTATAGCTCTACAACAAAATAGTGAGCTTAAAGACATATCTTGTTTTCCTAAAAACATGCATAAAAATGTCAGATAGAACATTAAACACTTGGCGACAGATCTCGAAGGCTTCTCAGAAAAAACTGTTTCTTTTTCCCAAACTGACCTAATAAGATGAACTCACTTACACAGACAGTTTGCTTGACCTTATATAAGAGGTTCACTGAGAACACATTCTTATTTATGGCAAAATCCTGTGGGAGTAGTTTGAAGGGGAGGGAGCGTGAGCACACACACCTGGTAGCTACACAGCACAACGGCAGTATTGTATTAGGTACCGCTCGGCAGCTGGCCAAGACAGCGAGGTAGCGTTTTTCATGAAACTAATTTCAAAGAGTAGAGAAAGTGCAACCAAGGTTATTTTGTTATAGCTACAATGTACAGATGTCCCCAAATGCATCACATGCAGGCAGTGACAAAGTTACTGATATGAAAAGAGGACAGCTATGAGAATTCACTCTCTGTATATGTGTATGGGTTTGACTGTGCCTGTTCAAAACGTGGCTGTGTGAAATAGGCACATTTTTGGCTGTGGCTTTCTTTAGAATGGCTCCTCAAAACATAGTCTCATGTGACTCACTTCATTGTCACAGGAATCCAAAGACAAATAAATAAATAAAATTGCATGAAAAACAAAACAAAGTGTATACTTGCCCAGTTATCACTATGACAACTTGACTGTGAAAAAGACTGAACTTTTGACCAGCTGTCCTTTTGTTTCTGACGTCCTTTAAATGGCCTATTTTGGCCTAAGCGTGAAACGACCACACTATGAAGTAACTTGGAAAACTGTTGGAAAGTGTATCTAGACGATTCAGTGAGGTACCACATATTGATTTGACTGCTCTGTGCACTTCTTTAGGATAAAGTTTGCTGATAAGTTTTTAAAAAAGAAAAATACTCATTGTTTTTTTCTTACCTCCTGTGTCAAAATTAACCTGTTCTTCATCCACACTGACCACATGTGCTCCAGGGGAAAGAGGCGGAGCATTTCTATGTGGGGTGTGCACATTCACCACTTCCAGAGGCAGCTGCAGAGGAAGACACAGGAGAAATATGTTCTGGCATTGGAAGCAAAAAATCCAAGCCTGTAGCTGTAATTCTCTACAAATATCATAATCCAGAAAGTTATGATCTGCGCTATGTTCTCATTATTTTGTTGACAACACCATTCCACTATGACCATGATATTTTCTTAAATTGTCCTTTGAATTTAAAATCCTTTTAACACCTGACAACCCTGCTGTTTCAATTCCCTTTTTTCATATCTAACTAAGGCAGTTGTGATGGCAAAAGGTGTGCATAATACCAAGTTGTGCATTATAAATGGTTAGTGGGTTATACTACAGTTCTTTGCACATTTGAACCACTGTTACCTGTGGTTGCTGTTCCTGGGGCTGCTGAGCACCTCCCTCTGCGACTGTCTGTGGAGGATTAGGGGAAGCATACTGCCTCTCTGGTGGCTCGAAACCATACACAGGTTCAAAGGTCAATGGTATATTGTCGCTCCCATAATGGTTTTGCGGTAGAAGGAAACTTGATCGGTCACCATCAGCAGGTGCAGGCTGGAATCCAGGGTTCCTCCCTGTTAAAGGATAATCATCTTCTCTTTCTTGGGTATTAGGGTCAAACGTATTCTCCACATATTCTTCAAACTCATCATAGTCTGGGGTGGTGGTGCCCTGGAAGGAAAAACAATGGAAAAGTCAGAGGAGTAAAGAGCAGCATGGGTGTCTGAGGTTGTGGTGTCAGCTAATAAAACTGATTGGACTGGGGATTATCTAAAAAGAACATGAGAAACAGTGTGTAAGATAAAGAACAGTGAAAACAATCATAACAAGAGGGTTGTGTCTGACTGTCTTATCTGTTGGGAAGCCCAAGATGGTAGAAATGTCCTACACTGGTGCCAACTCCACCCAACACCCAAAGAAGGGTCACACCAACAGATTGTACTGTTAAACAAGTCTAAGCCCTGGATCAGATGGTGGCAAAACTTCCCCTGTGCAATAGGAGCAGGCGGTGGTTAACTGAGGGCAGATGGAAGAACTGCAGGCCCAGGCCGAGCGGCACAACCCGGTGCTGGAAAACCTTGTGGTCTGGTCTGGGGCCGCAACTCAACTGCCTCTACTTACCATGGTTCTTTGATCATGCCACACAAGACAGTGGAGACGTATGACCGCAGCTGGTCTTGGATATGTTTGAGGATACAGTGTTGGAGGCTGGTAAGCAGCTGGTGGAGGAAAAGGCTGTGTGGCTGCTTCCCCTATTGTCTGGGGAAGGGCAGTTAGCAGCGCTCAGCCTACCAGCGGTTTTTCAGGGGAACTTTAAAGATGTCTGGAAGACTGTGCTGGACTGCTTGGGCTACTCCCATAAAGACCAGTGCTGCCAATTCCACAACTCCAGACTGGGAGTGGGAGATCAGCTATTGGCCACACCCAGCTGGCTGTAACTAGGGATGTTGTAGTGGGAAATGTGCATCCTGTTGCTGGTGGTGCTGATATAATATGATAAAACCATAATAAAATCGTGACCCAATTCTTCTGGATGAGTCCTACTTGGAATGCCAGTCAGGTCATTTCACTGGAGTGCACAAGGATATCCTTTTGTTTTTAGTCTTGGTGAATTATGCAACACAATATCACAATTTGTGAAGCATTTCAATTTCTGCTGAGAGTGTGGTCCATGAGCTGTTTCTGGTCATATTCTGAATCCCAAAAGAAATATTTACTGACCAGGGCAATTTTTTTCAAATCTCACACATGGGCTGGTGGAGTGTGTGAATAAAGCATTAAATTCCATGATGTTTGAGGAGAAGTTCATTCACAAGGATGAATGAACTTGGGACTGGTGGTTAGACCCACTGTTGTTTCCACTGTAGGAGGTGCCCCAGGCCTCCACTGATTTTTTCTTTTCCTTTGAAATGCTGTTTGGCAGAAAACCACGTGTGGTGTTGGACCTACTTACAGAAAACTGTGAGAAAAGTCCAAGCAAAAATAAAAGAAGAGAGGATGTCAGAGGATGACAACAGAGAGGCTAGACTCAAGTAGTTTACACCAGGAGATAAACTACTTGTGTTTCTCCCATCCTCCAGCTGAAAAGTACTTGTCAAGTAGTAAGGGTCTTTTGTGGTCACACATGATGGGTGGGTGATGTCAATTATGAGTTAGCACATTCTGCCAGGGGTAGAGCCACAAAAATATACCGCCTGAAAGTGCAGAGGCAGGCAGATCCTGTTTCTCTGGTGAGCTTGATGAAAGACAAAGATGGGTTGGGACCCATTCCGGCCATTCCTTCGTGACGACCATCTCACACAAGCCCAGAGAGCAGATGCTGTTAGGTGGTTCTTGGAGCTGAATGGGTTCATCATGAACTTTGCAGAGCTAACTAGTCCCCTGACCAACCTCACCCGAAAGTGTGAGTCAGACCTGGTCCATTGACAGAGCAGTGACAAGGAAGCTTTAAATTCCATTTGACTGGGTAAAATAAACTCTCTGGGGGTAACCATGCTCCATACTCCTAACTTCTCCCTGAGGGCAGGTGGCCGTTTTGTGTTTGCAGGTGAGGGGATTCGACTGAGGTATACATCGGTTGTAAACTGTCAGAGCGCAAGACTAAATACAGCACAGCAGATAAAGAATGTCTGGCAATTCTGTAGGCAGTTGAAGCCCTCCACTGTTATCTCCTGATATGCTGATTCACCCTATGTTCGGGCAATGTTTTGCAGAATGATGGCTCCATTGCACGAAGGATGCCAACACCCAGATCATCCAACGATATCTAGCTTGACAGCCTTTCAAATTCACGATGATCCAAAGGCTTGAGGTATAGATGGTTGTGGCTGATTTCCTCTTCTGTGGGCAAAGGAAGTTTAGGCCGGATGGCTCCTCATCCCAGGTTGGGCGATCGGGGTATTTGGTGGCGGGGTGTGGTTTTGGCTCAGCGCCGGGAGGGCTGGAGCAGAGGGTTCTTTGGGCTGGCTGGCACAGCTGTCAGCAATTGTCTCATTATGTCTCTTCTATTTATGCAGTAGCTCGCTGGGACCAAGGTGTGTATAGCAATCACTTGGACTAGCAGCCAGAAGAGCTACTAGAGCTGATAAAATTGAGTGGACATGTCACTGTTAAAAAAGCGTTAGAGATAACACTGAATGAATAAAGAAAGCAGCATAGCAAGAACGTTGTGTCTGACTGTGTGTGTTGGGAAGCCCATGATAGCAGAGATGCTCTACAGCAGGTGTGTCAAACTCATTTTACATGGCGGGCTACGTGCAACCCACTTTGATCTTAAGCGGTCCGGACGACTGAAACTCCCCATTCTGTAAAGAAGTTACATATTAAACTGTTTTTCTACATGTGCCAATAACAGAAATCTGTCAGCACGGCTCTTTGGACTTAAATTGTAAGAAATAAAATTAAAGTAAAAGTTCTGGTAGCTCATTGCTCTGACTTCCAGTTTTGTGTTATTTGTTTTTTTTAAATTGTTTTTTAATTGTTTTGTTTTTAACTGTAGTCATAAAAAAATGAAATTTCTATAGTAGAAATTGAAAACCAAACTTTTCTGTTTTTCACAAAGTTACAGAGGTTTTACTAAAGACATGGCTAAGCATTTTGCAATTTAGCATAATCTGGAATGATTTATGAAAGTTGAAATTTCTGATGTACTCAATAGCAGAAATTAAGCTTTCTTGTTAGAGGTCATTTGGGGAGAAAAAATAGTGGCTGACAACACTGTACAAAGCAGTAGACTGGTGCATAATAAGCAAGCAAATAAGGCAGAAAATATAGATTTTTGATGCACTACAGTATATTTCAAGAAGATATATTGTTATCGTCCAAAAGCTAAATCAAGCAAATAACAAAATTACCATATGGGAGTCATATCCTACAGTTGGTGGAGTAGAAACAGGACCTTTAATGGATGCAGGTACAATGTTGTCAAAGGAATAACGTTTTCCAGTGTGGAAAAGCCAAAGGCCTGGAATTCCACTGTTACCAAACCTAGAGCAGAAGAGATCAGACATTCACAGAAGGATGTAAATAATTATGTGCACCACAAAAAAACATTTTCTGTTGTTATAAATGTCCTAAGCTTCTCCTGCAACAGCATTTGAAGAAAAGGTTCAACAAAGGACATAAGGCAAGGCACATAACAATGAATGTGAACATCTTTTTTTGAGTCACTAATTTTAGCTTGACATTTACAACCTGTAATTATTAGCTATCTGCCCCTTATTGTGCTATACATGCACTGTAATTAGCAAGCTCTTACTACATACACATTTATTTACCAGTATTTGTTTTAGCGATTACTGTGTGTGTATGCATCTTGTTACTTGTTTCGATTCTGATCATAGAACAAGTACGGAGCCAGAAATATTTCTACACTAATGACTGTACGGTGCTCAGGGTGTATGTGTATGATCAATATTGTATTGAATATTTGCGTACATCTAATTCTAAGGTTAAACTGTTGGCTGCAAAGAAATTTATGGTTTAACCTTTTTTACTTACTGGTACAGGTTTTTAACACTCTGCTCATTACTGGTGACACTGTAGTAAGGGCCTTCATTTCGGTAAGTTAATATATTTGGAATTTCTCCTCTGCTGAAGCCAACTCTTGCTGGAAGCTCTATCTCAACATTATACGACTCCTAGAAAAATTAAAAAAACAAAAAAACAAAAAACAGAACAACGTAATAACCATGTTCTCAAATAAAATAAAATAAAATAAAATAATTTGTCAAATATTTAGCAACAAATACTAACAATAACAAAAATTAGGAAATATATAGAATAATTCAATAGTCATTAAGGAACAAAATAATATGTAAAATCTGAGCAACCAAAACGTGCACACAGATACATCTTGAAGGGCTAACATAACCCTGGTCAGGTGTTATGTTGACCCCTTTATGCACCTAAAGCAGCAGTGGCTATGTGAAGTGATAAAAATAGTGATATAAATACAATGGTTCATTTTGCTCGTGTACATTTTGCCCTACAGCTGTAACAGTGACGACTTAACTCTTGTTTGCTTACCTTAGGCAGTGTGCCAAAGAAGTTCAAACCGCCTTCAGGGTAGAGGAAGAGGACATATGAGTCTGTCTCATCATAACCAATAACAGCCTGGAACGTATTGACCTGTGGAGGCAAAAGCGGATTACAACATGGGCAGCAAGCAAAAATAACCCTAACCCTAACCTGCTCAGCCAGGGTTCCAAGTGATCTGAGCAGGTACTAAAATGTGACATCATCACACTGCATGCCACCGATTGGCTAGTCTGTGGCGTCATTCCATGAGTCATGAGAGCGTGTCGTTCAGGAAAATCAAAACCACATTTTTGAAACCTAGCAACAAGGCTGAACAACGCCGTGTTACCCCGAGCAGCAGGTATAATCTTGCCTCGAAGTCCACTTTTATTGTTAGTTTTGTGTTGCATATTGATTACATTGTGGGACACTCAGACGTGTTGCTATGATGACAACCACGTCCATCAAGAGGTACTAAATCGTAATGGAAAACCAGTCGATCCATGTCAAACCGATCTGAGTAGCTACTAATGGAAAAGGGGCTTGTGTGGCGTCAATCAAACACTTTCCAGGTGGATCAAATCTGGAACATCTAAACAGATATGACAAGGTCCCCAACGCCATTGGCTGACATGCAGCTCCTAACCATGACAAAACCTCCAACGTGTTTACAGATGGTTATAAACTTCACTGTTGTATTCTATTGTATTGTATGCCTGTGAGACTGTTCTATATTTGCAATCTTTCATTGATTGAACTAAATAAATGGAAACAAAAGTTTTTGTGAAAGGCTACTGATAAGAAAGTATCTAAAGTACAGTTTAAATCAGTTCATCGCTTGAGCCTTGTTTTCCCCTTTCCCTTTTTTATGCTTGAACTATTTGCAGGTTAAGTTACTTAACCCAAAAAATAAAAATAAAATAAGAAAGTCTGGCTCACTGGAAGCAAACTACACTACATATTTATGTTTTTCTGATTAACGTAGTGTTGAATCCAGTTTTTACACATCTATAAAATCACCTCCAGTGTGTCCTGCTCAGCTTAACCTCCCTCCGATTATTCATTATTTTTACACTTACTCCTCATGTTTAAACTTCACACCTCTCCTCGCACCTACCCTCTCCTCCTCCCTGTGTAGCCTGCTCTTCTTCTCTCATCTGCTGGGTCCCATGTTTAGACTTCTCACCTTTCACACCCCCCACGCCTTGCGGTCACCAAAACGACTACTTAATCTCATCTCACTTTACACAAACTAAGCTGAATTGAATGAATTGAATGAAGTCTGCATGGACTGACGAATGAGGGAATTCCATTTACATGGGAGACTGTGACTTAAAGAACTTATCTCCTACACGTATGGGGGAGGCCAAGCCCACTGCTCAACCACAGTTGAACAAACACAGATTTAGTGAATGAAGGAGACACTGTGAGTGATCCCGTGTTGTTTTCCTTTGGAACAAAATCCAATTATCCGTAGACTCACACATAAAAAGAAAGCAACAGATATACACACACCTCATACTCTCAGCCCCCAGCCCAGATGTTGATCTCCACAGCTGTCTTCCTGTGTGTCTGAACATCTTTCAGGATGACTTTACAACATGCAAACCAGAGACCAGCTACAATGTGTTAGCCAGGGGCCATGGAGGACACACACACACACACACACACACACACACACACACACACACACACACACACACACACACACACACACACACACACACACACACACCTACAGATGTTCCTCCACCTATATTAATCTCATGTGAATGCATGTGTGTGTCCCCCACCTTGTTTACATCAACATCTTTAAATGCTCTTGCTGTTTGTGGGCGGGAGGGATTTCGGAGCCTCTGGGCTCTGCGCAGTTAGTGAGGAGGGGGGCTTGTGTTTTTCTGCTTTCTGGCTTCAGGGAAGGAGGAGAAGACGCTGGAGCAACATGACGTGATGTGTACCTTTTTTTTGGGGGGGGGGGGAATTCTGATACTCCAACTAGATGTCTCTCCTGTTTTTGTTGCTGCTTTCTTGGGAGCAGGAGGAGGAGAAATGAAGGACACAGCGAGAAGCAAAAGGAGCACTAAAATGTAAGGTTAAGTTGAGAAAAGCAAAAGGAAGTTTGTTTGTTTTTTCTCTGTCTACATGTAACATACACCAATCAGCCACAACATTAACAACAGTGACAGGTAAGGTGAGTAACGCTGATCATGTCTTTACGATAAGGTGAGTGCTAGGAAAGCTTGGGCCTGACATCCATGTGGATGTTACTTTGATAGGTACTATCCACTGAAATATTGTTGTAAACTACAACCCTATGAAACCTAATAACCCCTCAACTCGATGTGATTTACTCCTGAAAGTGTTGCTAAAAACACAGATAAAAGAAGTTAAAACACGATTTTGGGGAGCAACTGAAAGTAGCTGAGAATATTTCATCTTTCCCAAGTGTTCGAGCAAACACCAGCCTGTTCCAGCCTGTAGAGATAGAGTGTGGTGATGGACATGGAAAGGGGGGGGGGGGGGTATAGATGATGATCTCATTTTCACAACAAATAAATCCATTCATAAAATGCTGAACGAATGCGTTTTCGTTTGAAAACGCATCGTTTTCTCTCAGTTTTGGACTCCCGTCCACACTGAGATGGAGGAAAACACAGCGTTTCGAAAACGCTCTCGAAAACGCATACATTTGAAAACGGTGCTTCAAATGCAGTGTGGACAGCGAAAACGGAGACTTTAGAAAACAATGATGCATATTAGTCATATGATGCAGTCATGTGACCAATTAAACTAAGATAGCGGAGGGCATTGTACAGCAGTTGTTTTGTTTACTCTCAATTTTGACAGCGATATTAAAGATTAATATCAGTTTGTACATGCTTCAGATAGCTTTTCTTCAAATTCTTTAACTCTCACTCGCTTTTGCAACTTTGTACTTTTGTGTTACTCACAGCAGCAACTCCACGTCATTGTTAGTCCATTTAAAAAACTTTTCCTCAACATTTTGCTGCGATGTTTCAAAGAACCGGAAAGCAAATAAACGGCAGACAGAAATGAGGCAGGTTGAATCTCCTTGCGTTTCACGCATGCGCAGTACTGGAATGTAAGCGTTTTCGGGCGTTTCAATGTGGATGCACAACTCTGTGAAAACACCGTTTTCAAATCTATCCAGGCTAGTGTGGACGTAGCCTCAGTCCTGTAAGGTCCTCTGTGCTGGTCCCCATCCCGTCTCTGTCTTTGTACTCATGTGTTTGTCTGTCTCCCCAAGTGTGTAAAGAAGTCTCACAGCTGGAGAACAACAAATTGCAGCCAACACACATCAAAGACGTTTAGACTCTGTAGCTCAGTATGCATGTGAGAGGTCCCCCGCTCCACACACACACACACACATATACATATACAACACTCAGACTCCCTACAGGCGTTGTGTCACACCTTTTTAAAGCGTTTCCTCACACTCTTTGCTGCAAGCAGACGCAGGCACAGACGTTTAATTGTCTCTGGGACCAACAAATGTTTCTTTTGGGGGCCATGCTGACTGTTTTAAGGTTTAGGTGGTAACATCATCCATCTGCTAGGCCTGTCTGCTTCACAGCAGGGGGTGAGAGAGTCTGAAAACACCTCTAAAGAAAAATACCGGAAGTTTATTTAGAAAGGTGATAAGCACTTACATGAACTTGGCTTTATAGACCTGTGTATAAATCACATTAAAGTCAATTATGTTTTATTATCATGGGACCAGTTCTCTACAACCGCTGTCACAAAGTGATTTTTATTGCACTGTAAGGAAACAAGCCTACAATATTCAAGAGATACGCCCAACATATCAGGTGATCACGATGGTGGGAAGGAAGAACTCCCCTTTAACATTAAGCAACCACCTGCAGAACCAGGCTCAGAGAGAGGCGGCTGTTCGCTATGACAAATCGGGACTGAGGAGACAGAGAAGGTAAAAAGAAGAGGGAATGAGACCAGGTACAACAAACAGGACAAAACAGAAGAGAAAGAAGACTGAAACCTGTGTCAAGTTTTGTTTTCTTCATCATTTTTGTCTCTCAATGGCAGCCTATGAAGTGTCATTTGTTGCATTTTGAGTGGCCCAATGATTTATGTGATTGCATATGATGATGATTCATAACAATCTCCCTTCTTTTGGTGTTTTACTTTAAAAGGAATAGAATTAAAATTAAAATATTGATATCACTTTTAAGTTTGCACTCTAAATATGAAGCTAGAACTAGCTTAGATAGTTAGCTATGATTAGCTTTGCTTAGCATACAGACTTGATACTATAATACTATTTAATAAGCTTTATTCTGTATACACAGATCATGTAAGCAAGAAATATTCCTCATCAGCCCTAATCTAAACAACATTTTACATATACTGTAATATAGATCCAATTATTTACAGCCAAGAAGTTATTTTTGCAAAAGTTTGCTTAGCTGATGCCAAGTAGCAATGAAAAAGAAGCTAAAAGGAGTCAATCCAAACGCCTAACTTATTTTCTTACAGCCTGGTACAAAAACTGTTTCCCTATTTCTAAAGACTATCTGATATGATAATATTCATATCACTCACCCTATCAAAATCTATTCATGTTTAATGTTGTTAAACGGCCACTTTAAAATGTCATCGCTTTCAGCATTCAGTTGTACTAAAAATCACTTTAGTGAGTTGCTTCCTCAGTTTTTCCACTAAGTTAACTTTGCTTTCTAGGATATTTCTTGCCAAAATTAGCATGCCATACAACATTACACTAAACTACGTGTATGACAACATCTCATACAAATATGGTCATGCATGGTCAAGACTGATTGCCAAACTACAAACTTAGAATTCATGAATCCACAGGGCTGTGTAAACACACTGGCTGTATCCATCTTTTATATACACTCTTTTCTTGACACTACATTAACAAGGCTTTGAATAAACGACAGCAGCCGCAAACATATATCAAACTGTTGTGTAGAATTAATTTTAGGACTCTCTCAGTTTACTCAACATAGTTTATCTTACTTTGGGATTGTTTACTATTTACTTATTTATTAGTAGTGTGGTTTACTGCCTTGAGATAGTTGAGTCTACTTTACCTCACATAAATTAAACTG